AGAGAATATTCCATGGTGTACTCAACTTGGACTAGGTGCTTGGTGGCATTAATGGAAAGGAAGACTTGTCCTAGATCAGTAGAACAGGGGAGGAACGACACTGTTAGAAGTGCTTGGAATTTCCATCTCTCGATTAGTGGATTCTTTTCTTCTTTTCAAGTTGGGAGTGGTAGTCAAAACCCTTTTTGGAGGATTTTCTGGTGCCATTTGTATTTTAGCAACTTAGGGTTGGAAAGGGTGTCTAATGCCAATCTCAAATCTTGTTAGAATTTAAAAACTGTAAGGTATGAGATGTTAAGGCACCGATATCCAAAATCTTTACGAATAATGGATTTATACAGTGGTGCGTGGCACGTGTAAGGAAAATTAAGTATTGCTTTGGAAGGAAGAAATTTCTCTTGGCATGCTTTTTTTTTCCCTTCCTTTCTTTTGGCTGTCTTATGGAACATTTGACTAATAGAACTTTCGGAGGGTGAGTCCTTGGGGTATGGGCTTTGACTAGGTTCAATACCTCCCTTTAGGTTTTGGTTATCCTCCCTATGTTATCAACCATTGCAGCTCAGCTCAGTGGTAATGGGAGGTCATGAGTTCGAATCTCCCACCCCACTTGTTTTACTCTAAAAAAAAGAGAATAACAGCAAGTAATTATAGGTGGGAAATCGGCCAAATGACATTTTTTGGTTTTTCGTTGAATTAGAGGAGCTATGGAATCAGGTTGTAAGAAGTATTTATAGTGTAGATAAACATGGTTGGTTCACTGTTAAGAGGAAAACAGAAATGGTAATCGAACCTATTGTTGGAGAGATAAATGGTTATTGTCTATGCCCCTAATGAAGTACTTTTTCCCTAACCTTTTGCGATGAGGTCATGAATCCTCCACCCCATTTGTTGTACTATAAAAAAAAGAGAATAACAGCAAGTAATTAACTAATTATAGGTTGGAAATCGGCCAAATGACATTTTTTGGTTTTTCTTTGAGTTAGAGGAGCTATGGAATCAGGTTGTAAGAAGTATTTATAGTGTAGAGAAACATGGTTGGTTCACTGATAAGAGGAAAACAGCAAGTAACTGAAGTCCCTTGAAACATAACAATATAACATGAAGCTTAGACCTCTTTTCGTAGTATCTAGTATCTACATCTATTTAAATTGGAGGTGGTAATTGAACATATTGTTGGAGAGATAAATGGCTATTGTCTCTGCCCAACGAAGTACTTTCCCTAACCTTTTGCGATGTCACAAAATAAGGAGGCCTCTGTCAAGTAAATGTAGAAAGGCAGCAAAAATGGATGGAACATTATCTTGAGAGAAACCTAATAAAGGTGGAATGGATTGAGTTTCTACAACTATCTGAAGCCTTGAATGGAGTTTATCTCAATTTTAGAGAAAATAGATGGTGGTGGTTTCTGTATCCCCTGGACACATTTTGGGTAAGATATCTTTTTCCACTCTAGTGAACACGAAGTCAACACTAATCTCACTGATAAAAACAAGCACAGCCAGGTTTCTGATTAAAAAAAAAAGTTGACACTAATCTAAAATCTCTCGGGGTGATTTGGAAAGGAATGAGATTGAGAAAGGTGAAATTCTTTATATGGACATTGGGCCATGGTTGTTGCTGTATGGCAGAAAGGTTACACTAAGATGCCCAAATATAAGCCTTAAGCCATTTTGATGTGTATTATGCAGAAAGGCCGAGGAAGGTATTAAACGTGTACTTTTTCACTGTACCCTTATCAAGAAATGTTGGACATCCAGGTGTTGCATTCACATATGACCTTTGACAAAGATGCCAAAGACAATAAGATGTGATGTGGAGATTTAGAAAGTAGGAGTACTGCGGGTAAATTTAATGTCTTCTATTCGGGAACATGGTTGGAAAGGAATTATCGAATTTTTAATGAAGATGACCGATAGTGAAATGAGACTCACTTAGCTGAGTTCCTTTTATTTTCTTGGTGTTCTTGGTTTAACTCTTTGCAATTATACTGATTTTGAAATTAATACAAATTGACGATTCTTTTTTGTATACGTAAGTCTTTGTTTCACTTATTCAATGAAAAACTTGGTTTCTGTTTAAAATAAGAATGATGGGTTTACTTCTATTGCACTTGAACTTTATACACCTTTACGAGTTTGTTAATTTCCCATAGATAATATAAAAAGTGCTTAGAAAAAGTCACTTCCTAAATCATTTTTAATTTCAACTTCTTTCCTAGCTGATTAGCTGGATAACATTAATTACAAAAATATCAACTTTTTCCTCTTTTATTTTTATTTTTCTTTTTCTTGTTGGGATGAATGAAACCAAGCAATCAATGATACGTTTTAAGGAGGCATTTATATAACTAGCATAGAATAATTATGTATTTTTAAATATAATAGAAAGTTCGAAGTTTTACAGAAAAAAAAAAAAAAAGAAAAATACCACAATCCTAATGAAAAATTGTATAACACAAAATTTATGCTATGTTGTGAAATTTCTCTTGAAAAATTGTTATTATTATTATATCTTATTAGAAAGAAAACTTTCAATAAAGAAGAGGGAAGTACAAAAGGTGGGGGATAAGAAATCACCCTCAGAGGCGAAGGGGTTTACAATAAATGGCTCCTAGTTGGCATAAATCAGAAGAACATTATAGTTACAGAAATATTTGTACAAAGTACACCATGAGGAAGCAAAAAGTGTAACTGACTCCAAAACTGACTGGAACTAAACGAGCCATCCTAAAAAGTTATTTGATTTCTTTCCAACCAATCTTCCAAAAGAGAGCCGTGATCACATTTGTGCATTGGACATTCGCTTCGCCTTTGAAAAAGTGACCATGAGGAAATACTGAATAGCCCTGTTACAAACCCAGTTTGGAGTGTCGTGGAATGAAGGAAATCTATTTTGCAGCTTTTTAAAGTATTCAGACTCTCGAGGAACCATCCATAAGAACAGTTTTACCTACCTTGAAACTTTTGCTTTCCAGATGGCCCTTATTTAACACCTTTGAAGGATGGATTGCATTTTAAAAGAGCTGCAAAAATAGACTGCAGCTGAAATTTCCACTACTTTTCCGAAGCCCATGTTTTAGAATCAGGCAAGTTATTTGGGTGAAAGTTTCGCAGAAAAACAGAGAGGGAGGTCCATTAATTGACTTCAGCTTCATTAATTCTTCTAAAAAAAGATCCTAACCATCATACTTCTCCGTCCAACAGTTATTGATGGACAGGTTATGAGAGTTTGCTTCCTATGGAGCCTAGGAAAGATAAAACACTAATAATAGATATTTATTTTTATTTTTGAAACTATATTAACTTCATTGTATAGTTAAACTTTGTAAAGAGAAAACACCACGATGATACTCTTCCAACCCCACATTTACTTTTTAGGTATCTTTGCTGTTGCATGATGACGTACATGTACTCATCTTTCTGCTAATTTTTTGTGTTGTGTGTGGACGTGCTTGTTCAGAAGAGGAGTGAGAACCTTGCAATTTCATCTGGAGAACAAATAGATACTCTGAATCCTGAAAATAAGAGTACTTTGGGTAAAGGAAATAATGCATTGGCTCATCAAACTGCAGCAAATAATGCCAATATTGTATACATGGATGAGTTTGATGCCTCCATTGTTACCCTAAACATTGTAAGTTTAGTGATCTAGCATCTCTTGGAGTAAAGACCCACATATTTGCAAAATATTTTTTATTATTGACCTGGTTGTGACAATTTAAAATGTCTGTTTACAGGCCGTCATATGGTTCAATCTCCATGAATATACGAAGGCGTTGGCAGTTCTTGAACCTTTATATCAAAATATTGAACCCATAGACGAGGTACTGGAGTTTATTGATTATATTGGTGATGGGAATGCTCTTTTAATTACTCTATTGATATGCAGACAACAGCTCTTCATATTTGCTTTCTGCTGCTGGATGTTGGACTAGCCTGCCGTGATGCATCATTGTCTGCGGTAAGTAGCTGTGTTAAATATTTAAATTTTAGTAGTCTTGTAGTGAGAAATTTTTATATGTTGCTTGCGCATGTTACATGTCTCCATGTTGGTTTAGCTTTATCATTTCCTGCAATTAAATCTTTAATTTACCAAGCATGTGCTAAAAGTTATTAAATTCACTGAGGAAATCTTTTCAGTATTATGGTTACAAAATTCGTTTATTTTTATCCCTATGCTGGCGCAGTTGTGTTACTGTCATTTCTGTGTATAATATAGCCTAGAGTCCTTGTAATTTGGATTTTAACAAATTGGAGTCAGTGAGCCTCTCTACAATAGCCATTCATGTCAACTCTTGCGTGCTCTCGCTTCTCTATATTGTTGGAAGTTTGTACCATCTGTTATTGGCGTGTATATCTCTTGTACTGATTTATTGTACTCTTCTGTCTTAATGGAAATGGGATACAAAGGCGTGATGATATATTCAGAATGGTTTTCTCATGTATGTTTCCAGGATGTTCTACTTTATCTGGAAAAAGCTTTTGGGGTTACCAGTACAAGCCAAAGTGAAAATGGAATTACAGGGGTACAGCAATCCACTAATGTAGTTGCAAAATCTTCATCTGTTCCTACCAATGCTTCTGCTTCTGAGTCTTCAAATACAGATTTAGCTGCAAGTGTGAATGCCTCGGAGAATCCTCTATCGAGAACTTTATCAGAGGAGACATTTGAGTATGAGTCCATGCTATCGACTCTGGATATTGGTGGTCAGAATCTACCAACACAGGCTGGTTTTTCATCTTCAAATGTTCTTTTAAGGACCCCAGTTGATCGGTCTCTATCTACAGTTGATCTCAAACTTAAATTGCAACTATATAAGGTTCGCTTTCTTCTTCTCACTAGAAACTTAAAGCAAGCGAAGCGAGAAGCAAAGCATGCCATGAACATAGCTCGTGGAAGAGATTCATCCATGGCTCTTCTCTTAAAGGCTGAACTTGAATATGCCCGTGGCAACCATCGTAAGGCCATGAAGCTGCTACTTGCATCAAGTAACCGAACCGACATGGGAATTTCAAGCATGCTAAACAACAACCTTGGCTGCATATATAATCAACTTGGGAAGTATCATACATCAACAGTATTCTTTTCCAAAGCTGTTTCCAATAGTGCAGCTCTCTGGAAGGATAGAAAGCCGACGACTTTTTCACAAGACAACTCACTCCTTATCGTGTATAATTGCGGTGTTCAGTACTTGGCTTGTGGAAAACCACTTCTTGCTGCTCGGTGCTTCCAAAAAGCCAGTTTGATTTTCTATAACCGCCCCCTGTTGTGGCTCCGACTTGCCGAATGCTGCCTAATGGCTTTAGAGAAGGGGCTTCTAAAGGACAACCTTGCTGATTCCGATAGATCAGACGTCAAAGTTCATATTGTTGGAAAGGGAAGATGGAGGCAGCTTGTATTGGAAGATGGAGTCTCGAGAAATGGATGCACATATTCCTCTGGAAAAGAAGATGGGCATTTCAATAGTGAAGGACAACCGAAGCTGTCAGTTTCTCTTGCTCGGCAATGTCTTTCTAATGCCCTGTACTTATTAAACCATTCCGAGACGAGCTTTTTGCACTCTGTATTGGCCTCTAATTCTTCCATGGAGGAGAGAGATTCAAGTGAAGTGGCAGCTTCCAGGAAAAATTATAAGAACTTACATTCGATTGATTCCAAGGCTTCCTCCGTAACTCTAGGCTCAAGTCAGATAAGTGCAAACGGTGATGCGAAAGAACAGAAAGGTGCAACAATTCAGGAGCTTGTGCAAAACTCCCTCTCCTACTATGATGATATTTCTCGGAGAGAGAACCTGTTGATTAAGCAAGCACTTCTTGCAAACCTGGCCTATGTTGAGTTGAAACTTGGAAACCCGTTGAGAGCCCTGACAATTGCAAGGTCTCTTGTTGATCTTCCTGACAGTTCTAAAGTTTACACATTCTTAGGCCACATTTATGCTGCAGAGGCCCTTTGCTTGCTAAATAGACCGAAAGAAGCTGCCGACCATTTATTATGCTATTTGTCTGGAGGAAATAGTTTCAAATTGCCATTCAGCCAAGAGGACTGTGAGCTATGGCAACTAGATGGGACTGCTGATCTTGAAGGTGCAAATGGAGGACCGGCAACTGCCACCAATTATTCGTCGTCCCACGACGACCCTCATGGTATCAAGTTCCTCAGACCCGAGGAAGCACGGGCAGTCCTCTATGCAAATTTTGCCACTCTTTCGGCTTTACAAGGAGAATTCGAACAGGCTCGACAGTTTGTATCAGAAGCATTATCGATTGAACCAAACAGTCCAGAAGCCACTTTGACCGCAGTTTACGTGGATCTCGCTCTCGGTAAGTCGCAAGAAGCCGTTGCCAGATTAAAACAGTGTAGTTGTGTAAGGTTCCTTCCCAGTGGATTGACAATGAAAAGATCTTCATGATTGGTATAACTGGTGGCTTTGTATTAATGTCCTGCCCTCATGTTAGTACTAGTCATTGGGCTAGTCGGCTAGATAGTAATCTTTAGGAGGAACATATGATATAGCTCACGTCAGAGAATAAAATTGATGTTCATTTTTTTTTCTCTCTTTTTAATTTTTATCTCTAGGGTTCATTTGTAGTTGTGTATCTGTTTTTTTGGTTAGTGGAGATGATGATGTCCTATTGTTACCATGAACGTTGATAGAGCTTTTCTTGAGAAAGAAATTGAAAAGAAAAAAAAAGGTATTTTTCTCTCTCTTGGCTTTATATTTCCTTAGTGATTTCCTCCTTCCAAAGAAGCTGAACGTTGAGCCAATGCGTTATTTATTTCTCACATTGAGGCAATGTTTTTTCATGGGGTGTTATAAATTTCAATAATAGAGGTTTGATTTTGGCAATGTTTTTATGCCAATTTGCACTGTTTTCTCAGATGGTTATTGCTGGACGGCACTCGAGCTTTTGCCCTCCACTTGCAGTGTTTTAACTGATTCTGTAATGATATTTTACCTGGGGTAAAAATTAAGGTTGTGTTCAATAGCCATTTCGTTTTTAAAAATTTTGCTTATTTGTTCACAATTCTTTTTTGGTATGTTTTCACTTTATTGAAAATACATTTGGATTCTTAGCCAAATTTAAATTTTTGAAAAACTACTTTATTTTCTCGTTTTTAAACTTCGGCTTGAAAACAGTTTTAAAATTAGATAACAAAACAAAAAATGTATGGGTGAATTTAGTACTTATGAGCTCAATTTTCAAAAACAAAAAATAAAAAATAAAATGCAAAATGGAGGTTAAACTTCTTTAGAGATGTTCTAAGTTAATGAAAGAGCGAAAAGGGTTGTTTAGGAACAACTCTAAATGATGTTTCCAAAATTCAAGAATTAAAATAATGAATGTCAATTTGAGCATAGTTCAACCAATTAAAACACCTATCTCCAATCCTATATGCTGTCTTCAAAAGGAAAAAAAAAAGATTTGTAATGATAACTATAAAGGATGTACCAATGAAAAATGAATTTAGAAGATATTATCATGTCAGCAACATAGTCAAAAGCATTCCATCAAGTGAAGAAACACACACGATGTTAAATTCAATTGCAAAATCTTACTCCAATTTAAATAAAGTTGGAAATTAGTGTAGCTAGCTGTCAAGATTTGTAGTTATGCATGGAGACCAAAAGAATCAAAAAGCTAATATAAATATAATTGGTAAGCAATTATTATTTTCATAAAATATCTGACGAGTCATTACATTAGGCCCCTCCCCTCGTTATGTGTGTTGGGATTCCCAAATTATTGGGTACACACAACTCCTCAAAGCATCTCTCTGTAATCCTTCAGAAACTAAAAGGACCAAACACCATACCATTTCTAATGGACTAACTGACAAAACCACCTCCATGTGCTCTTCCTCTCATTGGTCCCTCTTAACTCTTGCCCTTATCCTTAATAGTTTTCTTCTTCTTCTTCTTCCTCTTTTTATTTTTTTTTTCTTTTTTTCCCTTTTTAATTTTTCTTTCCATCCGTGCGCACAGTGTCGGATTTGCAAGAGGGTGCAAACAAAATCCCATATTAGTTAAGAAATGGAGTAATCCATGATGTACAGATGAAAACAACTATACTATTGAAATAAAAAATAAAACGATGAAAATTATGCCCAAAGCAAACAATATCATACAATTATGGGATACCATTTTCTTTTTTTAGAGAGAAAATTGAAGATAAAATGACATTATTGTTTATGCATACTTTGGTGTTTGCAGAGAAATAACAGTAAAAAATGAATCCGGTTTTCAATCCTCTTATCAATGGTGCAAAGATCTTTGGTCGTCCATATAAACGATTCTCGTTGGAGGGCAAAATAGGACCACTCGGAACTTCACTGATAATCTGTGACAAATTTTACACCATACATGATAGACCAGAGCTGTGAGACCAATGCCAAACTTCTCTTAATAGCTCAATTGGTCCTACCTCCCACGTGCTCTCAAAAACTTCATAAGTGAGTATAAACTAAACAATTCTATTGATAGTATCTTTAGATTGAGTTGATGGTTATGCCATTATAAAGGTATGGAAGGAGAGATATGATTTATTACAAAAAAGATATTTAGTACGAAAAATCACCGCATTTAATTTAAAAAAATCAAAACACTTTTTTATATGACAAAAGTTTGAATCTCCTACCCCACATATTATTGTACGGGAAAAAAATCAATGAAGATCTTGCCCTTTCATCACCCAAAAACGTGGTTTAGGAAGTAAGGACGAATGGGGTTTTCAAGGACAAATGTAAAGGGTCCTCTCTCCTACATTTTTCACGTCTCAATCACTACTTTTTTTTTGCCTTTTTGGCGTAGCATAAGATCAAGATCAGTGTCATCTGGGAATTACTGGATTCCACATGTGGTTTCTTTTAGCCCACTGGAAATCAAAAACCTCTTTTTTTTTCTCTCTCTGGAAATATGGAAACTGTGAAAAGTGGTCTAAAATTGGAAAAAGGAAAAAAAAAAAAATGAAGGCAAGTTTCAGTTTTAGAGTCCTAAGCAAACCAACTCTTACTCAACGCCCCTTCTATTTTTATTCAAGTAAATGAAGAAAGGCACCATTTTTTCCGACACTGCCAGCATGCTTTAATTAATTTAGAAATTACTATTATTATTATTATTATTAGTTTAACTAAGAAAATGATATTTGAATCTTTGATCGATGATATACTTTAATTAGTTAGCTATGTTATGGTTGACTAAGGCCGTGGAAGATTTTTTCTAAGTGATTATAGTTGTAGGATATTCAACTCATCGATAAGTATGTTATTTAATTGAACAATAATGGTTTATTTATGAAAAAGAAAATTCCTCTTCCTCTGCTTCTCTGCGTTCCTTTTTCTTAATGTCAAAATCTTGTTCTTATTTTATTATGTGGCACATCCGACCATTTCTATTTATTTTTTTATTTATTGAAATTATTACAATAAAAGTAAGGAGTTTGAAATGACTCGAGTAAAAAATACTCTAGTTGATTAAAAATATTTAAAAAAATTATTATAGTGTGTAGTTATACCATGAAAAATGATTTGAGTTATAAGTTCTTATCTGTTTTACGGTCTAAGAAATTCTAACTTAAAAAAGTAATTTCAAAGTCACTATAAATTAGATAGGGAATTAAAAACTAATACATATATAACAAGAAGATTCTGAATGATTGAATTAAAATTACTAAATCAATGAGGGAGGGACACATAAAAAAAATTAAAGGAAACACAAAGGCATCTGAGATTTGCTTTCTCTGCCTAATCCATAACACAACATAACAACAATTATCACAATTTAGAAACAAATGGTTTACAATAACATTAGCAATTCCAATTCAACAAAAATAAAATAAATAGAAATAAAAAAAGAGAAAGAGAGAGAAAAGACAAAGACAAAGATTTGACTCGACATCCTCTCATGTCGGCTCCATTTGGATACCATCAATCAACCCTGAAAAAAAAAACAAAAACAAAACAAAACAACAAGAACCACCACATCCAAATCAGTCAATAATTTCCAAAACTTGTAAAAATTTCTAACACACATTCCAAATCCATTAAATGTCATTTAAGTAGGTATACTAATTAATCAAGGTAATATCCCAATTAACCACATTAGTAGAACAATATTAAAAAAAAAACAGTTTATTAGATAATTTTCATTTTTCATGTTAATTTCTTAGAATAAAAACTTAACCTCATCAATAGATTTCACTCTAAACAATAATATTCGAAAGTATAAATTAAGGTTTAGGTGTTAAATTACTAATAGAAAAAAATTAAAACTCTTTATACAATAAATACATACCAAAATAAGATTATATCTTCCTTTTCTCGTAAGGAAATTAAAATCATAGATCCAGTGTTTAAAATTTAGGTGGTTACCTTTGAGTAGGTACCTTACTTCTTACCATCGTTCATTCAAAAATTGACGGCTATTTATTTTATTTTTCTCGAGTTTTTTCTTTTGTCAATTCATTTTTTAGTTGTCTAGTAAGGAGAAAATATCTAATTACGATAAGCACCTAAATTTTATCGGGAGAGAAATATGGAGAAAATTAAAGTTTGAAGTTAACCTGTGTTGTTTCTAAAGGGAGCAAGTGTAGCCAGGAGGAGGGGTCTTGCCACAGGTGATTAGGAGCTGAAGGGCAATAGGGACATAGAGATTAAGGTTAAGAGCCTTGATCTTAAGGGTAGTGCAAAGGCAGACCGCGGCTTCCACCTCAGCCAGCCCTGCAAGCACAGGGCAGCACTCGTTGGCCGCAGGGTCCCCTAACCCAATGTGCACCAGCCCTCCCAACAGATCCACGCACCCTCCCAGTTTCAGCGTGTCAATTGGGCACGTCTCTTTCCCCTTCGGCGGGCACGGCTTTCCCGACGGCGATGGCTTTCCCAGCACCGGGGGCACCGTCACAGGCGGCAAGCCAACTGGCGGGAGGTCCACGGGCGGCTTGACGGGGGGCACCGTCACGGGTGGCAAGCCAACTGGCGGGAGGTCCACGGGTGGCTTGACGGGTGGGAGACCGATGGGTGGGAGACCGCCCGGCGGCTTAACGATGACGGGCGGGAGGCCAATGGGGCCCTTGGGGGACTTGGAGCCAGGGCTGGGCTTGTGCTTCTTTGGCGGGTTGCCGCAGGAGCCGCAGCCCAGCATGGGGGCGGCTGAGGACACCAAAACCATGCAAATTAGGAGGAGGGAGTGTAATTTTGAAGGCTCCATTTGTTTCTTTTTTTTTTTCTTTTTTCTTTTTTCTTTTCTTTTTAATGGGAGTGGAGAGTGAAGGAGTGAAAGGTGTGTGGGGGGAAAGTGGAATTATATAGGAATAGTGGTGAAAACAAGAAAACAAAAGAACCCAAAAAACAAATCACGTGAACATGGGGAAGCCTACCATGTTCTAAAGGACATCTTCCTAGTTGGCGATTGGCAAATCCAAGGGCGCGCCTTGCCCTTCACAATAATTTCTTTGAATAAATATATTCTCAACTCTCCACTCCTATGTTGTTATTTGGTGCAAGTCTAACAACTTCTCAATCTTTCTTCCACTGTCTATATTGAGAATTCGAGCGGATAAACTTAAATGTAAATAAGTATCTTACTCTCAGTTACTAAACTTCTACGACAAATATACGATAAGGTAACACTCAAAAGGACACTCAATGTATAGATCAGAGCAACTAAAAGAATTATTAAAAAATTAATTAACAATGATTTCTTTTATGGGAAAACATTTAGTTTTTTATCTGTGAGGACCAATCTTGTTCTTATTATGGTTAAATATTTAACAACTAAGAGAGAAAAATACAAAATTGAATTTACTTTCGCTCTTCTTTTTCTGCATTCATCTTTTAGCTTCGTTTCATTTTTTTTAGACTAACTGTTACTAAACTAGTAAGCACTTAAATATTACTATAATTTGAATAGATGGACACGAACTAATGATCAAACTCTTTAATTATATYATCCAAAGAGTTATTCTCTCTCCTTATAATTCCAACAATCTCTTTTTTTAGTATACAACAAGGGGTGGGAGATTCGAACTCATGATTCATGGTTAGAGATAAGTATCAATTACCGTTGAACTCCAACCATCACAAAAGAGTTTTCTTAGGCGAGAAATGTATTAGTCAATCTCCTTTTAATTGATTGAAATAGTGGATTTTGTATTTATAGTTTTATTTTTATTAATTCTTTTTTTATATAGTTCAAATGTCTGGTAACTCATGAATCACGAACAAATTCTTGGAAAATGGATTCTAACCTATTTTTACAGAGTTGTCATTATTATTTACAGAAAATAATAATAATAATAAATGTACAAATCTATTACTCAACTATCCGTGAACTCTTTTAGTAATAATGTTTTTCTTTCCCATATGTATAATGTAAAACTAAATGAAGCTGTTTATGCAAGGATATGCACAACAGTATATTTCAGATTGCAGCTCGAACTCGACCTCCGGACCGATCTGAATACTTGGGCGGACCTGCACAAAAAGGTGAGCACTCCGACGATCAAGTCAGTATAGGTCGGATTCCCAGTTTAGTTCGAGGTCAGAAATCATCGTACCTGATCGTGGAGTGAAGTCCTCTACTTATGGGTGGTAGTCCCGCTAATCTTGCGACGGTTACACTCGGTAATCTCGGGACCGTTGGTTACACCCGGTAATCTCGGGACCGACGGTTACACCCGATAATCACGCCGCTGACAGTAGTTCACATCGGCCCCCACCGAGCTTCCCGGTAGGTCGGACCTCGGCCCTCATACTTAGCACCTGTCAACGCTAGCGGTGGTGACCTCGGGTGTCCGAGCTGGGCATGACTCATGAGTCATCTTGGAGCACCAATAGGGGTCCTCCACGTGTCCAGGGTATTCTCTTCCCCAAACAGAAGCCAAACAAGATTATCATATTTTGTTAATGAGCTTGTAGAATTTATTCTAATTTTATAATTAATTTTGCTTTTTTGTTTTTTGTTTTTTGATTTCGAGAACTAATTAAGTTAGATGCGTAGGAATCTCCATTTTAAAGATCTTTCAGATCTAGCCATGCAGACATTCAACGAGTGAGTTAGAATGTGATTGAGGATGTTTTTATTCAAAGTAAGTTCCATTATATATTAACTTTTCAATATTCTAATAGTTTAAAATGAGTTGAATGTTGTTTTAATATGACTTATTTTTCATGATTCATATTTTACTGGTATATATTTTAAAATTGACAAATTATGAAAACATACATATTTAAAACTAACAAAAATATGATATATAAGTGAGACAAACTAGGGTGAAGTTTATTGAGAAACGCCTCTAGAAAAGCAAGTGAGAAGATGAATGAGATAAAATATATAAAAGAGATTAGTGTTCTAGTGTTAAAGATATCTTTAAATGATTAAATTTATCCTAACCTATGAACTTAAATTTTTAGGCTAATTGATGATTTAACGTGGTAACAGAATTTGAAATCATGTGTTCGAACCTTTTTATGGTCATTTCTTCCTTATTAAATCAAATATTGATGAGTCGAGAAGAGGTAAAAAAAAGTGTGCATATACAAAAATAATCAGATCAGATAAATTATTAAAGGGGAGATTAAAAAGTGAAATTTTTGAAAGCATTTGACTTAAAATATATTTAATTCATGCGTATATATAGAAAATTAGGGAATTTTCGTCAATCTGCGTCAAAATCCTTCAATGATTAAGCTATGGGGTCCTCTGTATATCTGTCTAGATAATACAATAATAATTATGCGCTACACATTTAAAAAAAATTAAAATTAAAACAAAATGATACGAAAAGTTGAAGAGTCCAGACCGAATAATAAATACAGTGTGGATTTTTCCCCCAAAAAAAAAAGAAAAAAAAAGTTGCAATTAATGTCAACCAGCTCATATTCATGCGGATTCTTTCATAATTTTGCATGGGAATTTCTTCCTCTCTCTCCAAATAAAGAGAGAACAATTATTCTGCAGTTTCAAATCAAAATTTAGCATTTCTTATCACTCTTAACACATTATTTATTAAGACATAAAAGCTCAATGAAGGCTGACATAACACAGAAAAATGCACCAAAATTGGCGAAATGTTGGATTATATTTCAGCTAATTATATTATGAACTATTAGCTACTATGTTTGAAAGATCCAATTGCACTTTCATTCTGATCTGTCTCTAATTTTTCACCAGCGTTGCGTGGTTTTCCAGATCTAGCTAGCTTTTCTTGTTCCAATCAATTAGCCCATTTGCCTTATCATAACACAAAAACAAAGAAGTGGAGACATTGAGATTTATGGGAAAAATGAGAGAAACAATACAGCTAGCAAGCATGTGAAGTGGCAATGGTAGCTACGAGAAGAGAGAAGAGAGAGAAAGATGCTACGACAAACGAATAGCTCTATACACTCACAGTTGTATGATATGATATTGAACATTTTGAACCAAACCTCCCTTAATTTTATTTTTGGACTTTATCTTAAAAGGTAGATGTTTGAATTCTTATCTGGCCACCATTGTGGTAAATTATGATTTGAACTTAGTTTCAATTTGGTCCATAGATACGTTTATGTTTAGTTTCAATTTGGTCTCARGTTTTAAAAGTTTCAATTTTTACTCCCTCTCATGTTGTTATATTGAATACGTGGTGCATGTTTTTTTTTTCCACATTTACCTATAGCGATGAAGAAATGTTTTCAATTTTACTGTAACTGAAACATGAAACATAAGGTGAAGTTTAACCAAAATTATAGAAACTGACCAAGTTGAAACTTTTAAACTAGCTAGGTAAGAACAAAATTGAAACTAAAGTTCAAACCGTAAAACCGAAATTGATACAACTTAATCTCCGACTAAGATCTTTTTCACTTCTAACTGACGCGGGACAATATTGAAGATGAAGAGAGAGAGAGAGAAGAAGAAAGTGTTTGTGTGAAAGGGAGGAGAGAGAGAGAGAGGGCATGTGGGTATGATGGTGAAGGAAAGGTGTGTGTGTAATTGGTGAATGAGGTTAAAAGAGATCAAGCTGTATAGTTTTTTGTAATGTTGTGAGATCCGTGATTTTGCTTTCCTCATTCTTGACGTGATTGCTCCTTCTTTCTCCCCCTCTTTCTTTATTTCTTTTTTTCCTCTCCAATATCTTTTTCCTTCCCCATTCTGTCAAAATCCTTGCTTTAAATCGTGTAAGGTTTTTACTATATATTATTAACCAATGTCTACTACTGCCTTTTTTTGTTTCTCATTTGGATTTGCATCTTTAGAGCCATTCACATTCACAACATTCCTCTCTTTCATCTTATCTATAATGTAGGGATTTAAAATTTTAAATAACATAATAGCAATGCTTGTACAACTTTTTTGAAAATGTTTTTCATGAGTGCCTTTCATTTCTATTTTTCCATATAATTTATTTTTCAAAATCATCGTCGAAGAGATATCTTAAAAATTAATTTAAAATGATTTAAAACTTTCTTAAAATCAATTTTTTAATTTACCAAACATGATCAATGAAAATATAAGTGATTTTGACAATGGTAAAATGCCAAAAATGATCACTCCCAAACACATCCTTAATGTAGTTAGATATGCATGAAACTTTGTTTAACAAGAAAACATAGGATAATAGATACTTAAGGGGACCATTTCTATAATACTCGTGTTTTATGTTTTCGATTTGTCATTGTTTTAAAAAAGAAAAATACAATCATATTTAGTAATTATTTTTAGTTTTTTGGACATCATTTTTCTAATAAAAAATAGTAAAAGATTATTCCACAGTTTAGCCAATTTATTATTATCAAGCAAAAATGGTTAAATAACTTCCTGGTTATTTAAAGTCACAACAAGAAGAAATACAGTTTGAAGAGTTTTTTCTTTCTTTTTTGAAGAGTTTTTTTTTCTTTTTGAAGTATGACAAGTTAAATGAGATTCAAACTTATAACTTCTTAGTTAAAGATAAATATCAATTACTAGATAAATATTAATTACTGCTAAGTTAAGAAAAATAATTAAATATTTACATTTATAATATATAGTTAGGTCTCAATTTTGCTGTGAAGAAAGCCAAAAATTGCGGAACCTTTTTGCTATTCGATACTTCAACAAGTTGGTAATTAATAAAAAGGAGCTGTCCATGGCTAATTATCAGAAAATTGACACGACACCAAATCAGAGCTGTTTTCGACTTTGGCATGGAAACGGTACGCAGAGTTATTAATTGGTTTTTGTCGCGTGTGGTGTCGCGTAGATTAACATTTACTCAACACACAGTTTTTCCAGTAAAATCCAATGGCTGAGATTTCTTCCTCCCAACTGATGGCTGTGAATTGCAGACGGAGATCTACTCGGGTTATGATCTAGTGGCTGCGGTTCGTCCTTCAACATCCATTTGGATAAAGTACATAAGTTGATTTCTTCCACACAATTCTGT